TGTGATTTAGTTGTCAGTTGTTCTATAGCAATTTGTTTTGAGGATATAAACACTTCATCAACCTCTGGTTTATTCCCACAAGACATTCCCGGTTCCCCACCCAGCATTTTACCTCTATACAAGTTCGAAATTGGCTTCTTTCATGAACGAACAATTATTATTTCATAGTGCGTTCTTGTGTATTTTACCACTTGGATGCAGAAGTTGAAGAGGTTGTACTTTGGTTTAAATGATTAAGGGAGCTATAATGTGTTCCATCTTGAATTCAAGCCTTTGTTTTAATTGTGCATTAGGACATGTTGCTAGTGGACAGTATTGTACATAATAACATAAAATGTAACTTATTTTTCGTTGTATATAGTAATGCTACAAGAAAAATTGCTCTTATTACCCAAAAGAAAGAAAAAATAAATTGGTAATTCAAATTGCTATTGATCACTTCAATTTTTTTAATTTGATAAACTTCCTAGACGTACTGTAATAGCTGCAGTAGCGCATGCATAACACGTATGCATAACACGTAAAAGGACTAAAACGGTGGCTCTCGATTTCGCCGCCACGTGCAATTAACAAAAAAGATAAGCTTCGCCGATTCAATCTTCAAAACCAGGCAACTATATATATATATATATATATAGACATACACAAATACAATTCTGGTACGATTTCCAAATTGAAAGAGAGAAATTAGTGAGTTTATTTTGAAGTGGAAGATGTCGGGGGCACAAGGAGCACTGCCGCCGGGTTCGTACACGGCGACCACATACGAATCGACTGAAACTGGAGAGAACAAGACGAAGCTCGACGTCCATTCAAAGGAGGATGAGGGAGGAATTCAGATAGATAAACTCCAGGACAAGGTCGAGGATGCAGCAGGTGAAGGCGGCCCTGTTTTTGGCGCAGGCGCCGGCGAGGAGGAGCAGGAGCAGGAGAAAAAGGATGACTTGGGCGTCACTGGAACTGCCTAGCTAGCTCGCTGTTTCTTGCGTATATACAGTTTCTTTTCGTTTTTCCTGTGTTTATTCATTAGTTTGTAGCAACTTACTTTTCTTTTTCTTTTTTTTTCTTTTTTTTTTTTTAATTATATATAACATCTGATATGCTTATGTACTTTTTATATATCTATTATGGAATTTGAATGTTTGGCTCTTTGAACAAAGCCAATCTGCAGACTACAGTGACTGATCATGAAGGGCATAGGCGGCGATTACTTAGAAGTTGTTATGTAAGAATTATGATATTTACAATACACTTTACCTAATTCTATTATTATCCATTATTCTGTTAGAATCCGGTGACGAGAGTCTCAGTTGCATTGAGAGAGACAATGCTCTGTCCTCAGGGAAAATGCAATGATTGAATTTTTAAATTGAACTAGAAGTGCTTTTGATTGATTTTATTTTTTAATGTCATTTTTGATCCAAATTTCGCAGAGTCATAAGTTTATTTTGCGGCGGGGGGGAAACTTTTTTTTTTCCTTAACAAATTAATACACAAATAAAATTCATATATAACAAAAAGTTCATAATATTACATTACCTGTCAAAGTTGTTCATCGAGGATTTATAGCATAAAATTTATCTATAGTAAAATTTACATCTAATACATTACCTGTCAAAGTTGTTCATCGAGGATTTATAGCATAAAATTTATCTATAGTAAAATTTACATCTAATACATTACCTGTCAAAGTTGTTCATCGAGGATTTATAGCATAAAATTTATCTATAGTAAAATTTACATCTAATACATTACCTGTCAAAGTTGTTCATCGAGGATTTATAGCATAAAATTTATCTATAGTAAAATTTACATCTAATCTCATAATAAGTTCTCGTTCATTATAGAAATGAGAATATTATATAATAATAAAGAAAATCATCATCCATTTTGTTACGAATTACTGTCATCACATGTTTCATTTTCTTCCATTTTGAAAAATGCATAAAAAAAATAAATTAAATTTCTCTATAATCCAAAGGTAAATGCATGAATTAGTGGGATGAATTCTAAAAAATATTATAAAGAAAAGGAATAAAATTCAAAGGTGTTGAAAAAATGATAATCGCTTAGCTATCAATATTATAAAAGGGGTGCATTCATGGACCAATTAAGAGAGTGATATTTTTATGAATCCAACTATATATTTATATATATATTATTTCTATTTACTCGAAAAAAATCCACTATTGTCATCGTTAAGAAAGCTTGAGATGTTTGAACTATTAAATATAATTTAATGTCTATATAATTTAGCTCCTACGATTGAGAAATTGATTGGAAGTAATCTTCTTTAAATTAGGTCTTTATTTAAATATGTTCTTCGAGTTGCATGTTAGATCATAGAATGAATTCAAGAGTTATAAGATTATAAATATACAATTATTAAAAATAAGGAGAAGAATGAAAACAAGCTATTGCATTCTTAATCGGGAAGACTACATAACTACAACATCGTAAAAACACATTTCATAAATAACAAACTCATTGAAATATTTCAAAAATCAGGTTATAAATATATTTATTAAATATTAAACTAAAATATAATGTACATTAATTATTTCCACTCCATGCCACTTCACTCACCCATCCTATCATCCCACTACACCACCTTCTCTCCACCTCTTCACTGGAGATAGCCATCGACTTGGGTGATTGCTCAAGCAACAGCTCCAGCGACTGGTTCGGTAATCATTCCACAAACTGCTGCGGCGAACACTCCGATAACTGCTTCAGTAACTATTCCACTGATTGTTCCGACTTCGGTAATAAAAAATCTCCAAAAATTGTGATGGTCGTAGTGGTGCATTGTAGTTATCAGATTTGCAACCGTGTTATATATGACCATACTTGTGTTATATGTGACAAATTCACTGACTTATGTTATTTGACCAACTCTGCCTTCGTTGTGACTAATTGTGATCAAATTTGTATTCAGTGTGACTGTCTGTGACCAGATCAATCTCAAGTCGCAAACCAAACACAATCAATAAAAAATTGGTTACAAACAATTAGAACCTGTTCTCGAACAGAAAAAAACCAGACCTCCAACCACCACAACAAATCTGTTCGGAAAAATAATAACCAACACCACTACTAACATCTTTAACTCAAATTGATGACCATAAATACTACATTCACCTCAAATCTACAACAATCACCAATGCCATATCTTCCACCAACCCTTCAAAAAATACTAATCAGCACCACCACACTTCTCTCGTGAAACTTCGGTGAGAGAAAGGATAGGTGGTCGGAACCTAGAGGATGGGTGGAGAAGAAGTCGTAGATCTGATTTTTGGATAAGAGAGTGCCGAACTAAATTTTGGGTGAAGAAACAGAGTGTGTGGGTTAAAAATTGATACAAGATCTGGGGTAAATTGATACGGGTTTGTGACCAAGTTTGTATTCAATGTGACCATCTGTGACTAGATCAATCTCAAGTCGCAACTAGTCACAATCAACACAAAATGGGTCACAAACAATCACAACCAGATCTCGAACAGAAAAAATTAAATCTTCAACTACGACAGAAGATCTGTTCGAAAAAATAATAACCACTATCACTACTAACATCTTTAACTCAAATTCACAACAACAATCATCATTACCATAACTTCCATCAACACCTTCAAAAAACACCAACCAATTGATTATTGAATATTTCTCAATAAAGATTTCCAAGATTCTTCTTCAGTTATTTTCTCGAAAAGATGAGGAAGATTATGAGAGAGAAGTCGTAGATCTGATTGTTCTTCACCATATGGTCCCACGTTCACGTTCGATTTCTTCTCCTCGCAGATTGGTTGGTGACCCATGTACTGCATTGGCACTTTCCCAAAATCTAATCTCATCAACTTTCAAACAAGAGATTTGCATGAAACTCCGACGAGAGAAGTGGTAAGTAGCTGGAATCTAAAGGATGGGGATGGGAAATAAGTCACCGATGAGATTTTTGGATAAGAGAGTGCTGATCAATTTTTGGGGAAGAGAGAGAGAGAGTGTGTGTGGGTTAGAAAATGAATCGGGGTATATGGGGTAAAAGAAGTGTTCAGAGGTGGTAGAATGGGTGTGTGTAATTAATTGATTTAAAAATTAGTATTTATCATCTGATCATTGAAATTTAATCTTTCACCCACTTGTTTTAAAAATATAATCTTCAAAAGAAGGGATCTAAGTAATTTTTCCCTTCTTAATCTCATACGTTTGCCTTTTCCTTCTTTACAGCATGCAAGCCGTTCTCCAAAATACCAATGAAATAAATGGGTTTTTGAGTTTAGGATAAAAAAATTTGGTTTTAATGATTGGACTGGACCAGTGAAATTGGGTTGTTGGGTGTTGGTGGGCTATGTAAATTGGATTGTTAATTGTTGGTGGGCTGTGTGCTAATTTTTATTTTTTCAAATTCTTTATTTATTTGGCAATTAATTGTGGATATGGGCTTGGACAACACTAGGCCAGTGTTGCTCTGCCCCATATCTGCCTTTATTCCTATTTTTAAGATGTGTGATTGAATTTTATTTTTTTTTTCATATTTTCCTAAAATACAAGGTAACAATTTTTTTATTTTTTATTTTTTTATGGAGAGATGGTTTTTATTTTTTAGATGCTTCACTATTTCTTTCTCCCTCTCATCTATCCACTCCATGTGATCTACTAATCAATAAACAATGGACAAATATAATATATTTTAGGTTGAAAACTAAATCAATCAGTAAATTCCAGGCAAATAAATTGCTTTGCTTATAATTTATTTTATTTCTATGCAAATTTCATTCTTGCATCCTAAATAAAGTATAATTACTTATGCATCTTTTAAAAAATGAAATTCATCTATCATTCATTGAGAATCAATTTCCTCTCTCGATTAATAGTTCGCATGTCAAGCCACTTGATACTAAAATGACCTTAAATGCTTCAACTTTAGCGAAGACATAATGTACAGCATATTGCACTAGTTACTAAATGGATCATTACCTCATCCCAATGTTATCAAATCAAAAAATAATCCATTTAAATAGATATTTTCGACAATTGCAATGAATTTTTCTATCAAAAAACAAAATTATTTAAGGGTTCATTTGACATGACTTTTACTTTTATTTTCACTTTCACTTTCTATAGAAGAGCTTTTGAAGAAAATTATATTAATTTTTATTTGAAAACTAATTTTTAACAGCACTTCCTTCTTCGTAGTACCTTTAAAGGAAGTTGCATTAGACCAACTTTTTATAAAAGTTCTTCTAACTAACAAAAACACTTTTATAAAATTAATCAAATGTGTCCAAAGTAGCTTTTGAGTCTCTCAAGCTCCTTTTGATTTTCAAAAGTCATGGCAAATGGGTTCTAAATCTGATGAGCTCATCCTTTTTCTTTTCTTTTCTTTTCTTTTTTCTGGAGAAAAATATGGTCTAACAAGTAATTTTGCCGAACGTCGCAGTTTCAACTTTCAACTTCTTAGTGATGTTACTATTTGCCTTGCAAATTAACCAATTGATCTTAACGAGCAAAATAATTGTTGATACATTGATTCAAAATGTGTTAAAATTTTTTGATAAAGATAATAAAAATAGAACTTTTATCTTTTCTTGATAGAAAAATTGCCAAAAATTGGTCATTAAATCCTGGCAAAGTCTTCAAAGCATTGGTCAACAATCTAATAATTTTCCATATAATGTTTTTTCACCTATTTATATTTTTTTGCATTTTCTGAACAACGATCCTATAGACAAATTTAAGGAATTAGTCTTAATTTCAACAATAACCACACGAATCTAGTCGCCCATAGAAGGTCCATAAAATCCTAGAAAGCATTTAACGTCATCCTAGCTTTGTAGTTTTGATAAAATAAAAAAATAAAAAAAATAATTTAAAAAAAAGAAAAGAAAAATGTTAAAACTTAGCCCCCCATCGACATCTTTAAATTTCTTTTTAAAATTATTTTTAATAGTATTTTTGGGAGAATATGTCATGAAAAAGTAGAAAAGAGTTTATAATTTATGTGTTAAATATTTTATTGCGTGAATGTGTAATAAAAAATAAGTAAGAGAAATAAATTTAATTAAAGGATGTCAAACATGGACTTAAAGAGTAACAAAGGCTAATCCTAG